TTTGACGTACATATACATTTGATTAAGAGAAATATAGTCTTGCTAAGATTTTGGTATTATTTTCTGTTTTCCATAGAATTTCTATAGTTCTTTTTTTCTTGAAGGTTTATGTGTTCAAATATTTAGTTTTTTTATTGAAAGTCTATTGATGTTGTGTACCACTGCATATATAATCCATGATTTACGTTGATTCGTATTTAATTTTGTTAGGAAGCTGTAATGATCATGCAAAATCATTTTTTTCTTCTCCATCATATCTTCCAAGAGTTTTATGTTATATTTTTATTCAGTTTTCATTGTTTTAATTGATAAATTGAGTTGTTGTAGATTTTTTTAAATTGATAATTGATAATGGTTACTTTTTTTTATACATGTATTGTTAATTGTTAATTTTTTCTATTTAACTTTTAAATTTTAAACCATATTAACATTTTCTGATTTAATAGATATGTTGATTTGGATCAATTAGATTTAATTTATTTTTTTTGTTGGACATAATTTGTTAATTAACTTTTAATGTTATAATTATACTTAAGAATTTTTTGTTTGATTAAAAAGCTGATGTAGACCAATTAAATCAAGTTTTTCCGTTCTTATCATACTTAACATTTTTTTATTTAATGAATATGCTGATGTGAAGCAATCAGATCAGGTTTTTTAATTCCATGTGGACGCCCTCAATGCACTATCCCATCAACTTTTATATATTATATGCCATCAACTTTTATATATTATATGATGTGTAAATATAAATCATGAAATAATATTTTAATATATTGGAAAAATATATGCATGAAAGAATTGATATGTGTAAGATATATTTTTAAATATATCAAATAAATTCATAATATCAATCAAAATTATTCTTCTTTATATTATTTGTCTTCTTTGACTCATATTTGTTTTTATAAGTTTGAATAATATGTTAAACATTAAGATCATCTCCAATGTATTTTCTATTTTTTCTTCTAAAATATAAGTAGATTTCTCTCTAGCCTATTTCTATTTTACAGGAAAAAAAAAGATTGTTATTTTTTCTTCCAATTATAGTGGAAAAAGTAACATCTCTATTTTTCCTCTAAATTAGAAAATTTAAAATACATGTGGGTTAGAGATGTTTTAAACTAAAAACTAGATTTTGGACCGCGCACTTGCGCGGATTTCTTTTTATAAAATATTTTTGGGTCATAGCAAAAATTGGTTTATAGTAAACTTTTGTTCAAAAACAATTAGCTTATATTATTAAATCTAAAATTGTGGCCTAAACGTAAATTTTTATTAGATTATATAAACTATTTTAACATTATGGTTTTATGTTCTTAAAATTATTAGGCTTGATTTTATAAAAAATAAATATTTTGATTAGCGGATTTTTTGTTTTTGTAACAAATATTTTTAAATATTATATTTTATAATGCAAGAGGGATTTTATTTGTTTGTGATTAAGATTTTTAGGCTTTGTTTGTTTTTGCCTCCAGATACTTATTTGGATGCAAATGCTCTCAAATATTGGTCTTTTAAATATTTTTAAATCAGTATATGGATATTTTATCTGAATATAAATTTTATAATATCTCAAATTTGGATATTTAAAATGCTAAAAAATAGAGATTTGATGCAGCATTTGAATCTGAAAAATTAAGAGATAAAAACATCTCTTAATTTAAACCACAAAATCAAGTTTTTTTTGTCAAAACTATTTTTTTCTTTCGAAATAAAAAGCCGCATTTTTCACAAAATCGTAAAATTACGTTGTTGTACCAAAACTGAAAATTCCGGTAGAAACTGTAAAATAGCATTTTCCATCAAACCGTATCTTTCCGCCAAAACTGTAAACCCACATTTTTTTAACAAAACCAAAAATTATGTTTTCCCTCAACACCATAAAATCGTATTCTATAGCTAAACCTGCAAAATTGCATTTTGTAGTCAAACCCGCAAACTTGTATTTTCAATAAAATCCATAAAACCACATTTTTCCATCAAAACCTATATAACCCGCAAAAACATGTAAACCTCGTTAAATCTGCAAAATCACGTTTCCCGCCAAATCCACAAAAATCTGTGTTTTTCCGTAATATTGTAAAATCCATAAAATTGTGTTTTACGACCAAATTTCTAAACTTATATGTTTCTGCTAAACTCACAAACCCGCATTTTCCTGTATGACTACATTTTCTCGCTAAAACTTGTAAAACCCATAAAATCCGCAAAACTGCGTTATTCGCATTTCACAAACCCCTTGTTTTCCCGTAAACCCCGTAAATTCTTCAAAATCATGATTTACGACCAAATTTCATAAATTATGTGTTTCTGCTAAATCTACAAAAGCACATTTGTTGTCAAACCAGCATTTTTTTGGAAAACCATATTTTCCGCTAAAATTTATAAAACCCGCTAAAATTTGTAAAACCCGTAAAATCTACAAAATTATGTTTGTCAAATCCGCAAACTCATAATTTCCCGCAAAAAGTCATTAACAAACCAGAAAAACTAAATGATTTACATAATAGTTTGTTCAAAGTATGTATATATGTAACCAAAAAGTAATGATTATATATTCATCATTGACTATAAATTGTCACATTTAGTAAATAGCATAATAATTTTTAGACATTTTAAAGTAGTCCTCTTCTTTTAATAATATAGAGAAGAAATTGATTATAATATAATATATATTTAATTTATCATATAATATATATAATTATATTAGTTATTCATGCCATATATATGTGGTAGTTATGTTAAGATATTATGAAAGATTTTAAAATAATTTTAAAATTAAATTAATTTGAATTTTGATTAATATAAGATATAATTTATTGGTATTATCTGTTAACAAACTAATATAATATAATATAATTTAATATATTTGTTAACATTTTAATAATAAGACTAAATTATCTTTAATGAATCTATAGAAATTTAATGGCATATATTGTAAATAACACAGTAACTAAAGGTTAATTTAAAATAATGATTCTCTTTTAATAGTATAGATATAGCCTGATATTTTTTACAGAAAACCAAAATTGTAAAGATTTACTTTTACGTTTACTTTTACTTTATATATATATATATATAATATTGTAAAAAAAAGGTTGATGAGAAGATAATTATAATTTATTTTTTTATCTGTTTATTTTTTGTTTATTTATAATTCAGAATTCTTGCTATATAATGAGAATACATTCACATATGATATAATTTTTTTTAAATAAGATTTATTTAGTTTTAACTCAATTAATTAAAATATTTTGTTATTTTAGAAAATTTGCCTTGTCACATTTTCTTTTCAATATTCATTAAACATTTTTATTAAATAAAATATAATACTAAAAGTATTAACTTCTAATAATTATTTTATTAGTTTTGGTTTGGGTTGCATGGTTTGGTGTTGATTTCGATAGACATTTATATAAAAGAACATTGTTATCACTTGTCTTACCAAAAAAAGCACTTTCCCCAACAAGAGTATTTTGCTTGTACTTTTACCCACTTTGCACATGTGTTTTCTCTATTGTATCCTTAATAAAACCATCATTTTCTCTTTTGCCATTTTTACTTTTTTCTCTCTTTTGTAGTTTCTGTTTTTCTTTTTATTTTCATCTTTTTGCGGATACATCTATAAAATAAAATTATTTATAAGGATGGTGGAATAGGTGTTAATAGTGGATAGGTTGGGTATCATTTCTAAGACAAACCACCATCCACATATGTATGTCCATTTCTACATATCTATGTGTACATACTAATATATATACATCTGAAACATATGGTTCCCATCTGAAAATAAGCTTAGTTGAATGTCTGAATTTGGTACGTAATATGTTGGTATAGATGGTAATATGTGGATATCATATCATGGATAGTCTTAGCGGAAGAGTAATTGAGAAAGGTAATTTTGAGTCTTGCAAAGCATATAGATTTGTTTATCTATTTCTACCATTTCATATGCGAGCATCAATATGTACAACCATCAGACATGTGTAATACTAAGTTCATTTTCGACATGTCTAAAACTAAGCTTAAAGATGAATGTTTGCATTTGGTATGTATTAAGTTGGCGTGGATAGTAAACCGTGGATATAACAACGTGGATAGGAATGGATGAGTAAATAAGAAAGATAACTGTGGACATACATATGTGTTAAAGACACATCTTTATCCATCCATTTCAACCATTTCATATGTGAATATCCACATGTATAACCACTAGACATATTTTATACTAATTAACTTCAAGATGTCTAAAACTAAGCATAGAGATGAATGTCTGAATTTGGTACGTATTATATTGGCATGAATGGTAATCCATGGATATAATAACATAGATAGGCTTAGTAAAAGACTAATTAAGAAAAATAATTGTGGGTATAAATATATAACAAAACACATATTTGTTCATCTATTTTAACTATTCCATATGCGAGTATCCACATGTACAACCATCTGACATGTATTATACTAAGTTTAGCTTCGATATGTCTATAACTAAGTTTAGAGATGAATGTCTAAATATTGTGCATCTATTCTACTATATCCATATACAGAAATCCACATGGTATATAGATATAGGTTTTGTCCATCCAATTCGAAGCATCCACGAATAAGAACATCACATATACTTTTTTTATTCAACTTTGAACTTATGTTATATTGAATCTTGGTAAATATTTTAGTTTTAGTTGCTAAAGGAAGAGAGAGAGAAAAAAAAGAGAAATATACAAAGAAAGAGAAAGAGAAAGAGAAAGAGAAAAAAAAAGAAAAAAGTTAATATTATCATTTCAATGGATGAAAATACCAAAATACGCTAGTTGCATAAAGTATATTTTGTGTAATTATATTTTGGAAAGATGCTCTTTTCTGTAATATTCTCTTGATGAATTTTGGTTTGGTTGATTTTAATTTTTATGCCATGTCATTTTTTCTTGTTTTTAATAATATATGATGCAGTAATAAAATAAAGAAAAAGAAAAGGATAAAACGAAACAAGAAAACTATAATGTTCGTCTGACACACAATACAGAAACAAAACGCTTCTATGAGAGATATCACACTCGGTATCAACCTAACAAACTACAATTTGTGACAGATCTTTCTCTTTTTGCTATTACTCTTCCACCTGGATTTGTAATAACTTTTGGGTTTGAATCAATTTCTTCCGGAACCGTAACATTTTCTTCGCGAGAGAGAGAGACAAGCACTCACTCTAAATTGAAATGGATCGGCGAAGAAACTTTCAGGATCTTCAGATTCGTCAGAGAGTAGCGAAAAGTGTCTGATCTGTTCGCTGATTTCTCATGGCGAGACGAATCTACGATGCCTGGAAAGGAACTAATGTAAGTGTATTTGAATCTCGATTCTGTTTACTTTTATTTTTTCCCATTTCTGGAATCTGCATTATTCGAATTATCTGCATTACTTTCTCAAGAAATCTGTATTTAGAGTTTTCTTAAAATAGTCATTTTTTTTACTCTGTAAGCAGCCAGAGTTTTGCTAGAGTCTGATCGGTTAACTTAGTGCAGAGAATACTTATTTTGGGAAGATTTTGATTTCTAGAATATATTTCAGCCTTATCTTGTTATCATTGTGTCTAGTGGTTAATGTGCAAGTATGAACATGAATATCACATTACTAGATTTTACAATGTTGATGCATTTTAGATGAAACCATAATTGTCAAATTTTTGTTCAACGGATCCCACTAACATTTGTGAGTATATATAGTTATTACATGATTATCATCTCCTGCTTCATTGCTCTTTTGCATAAGTTTTTACCTTATTTGGTGGGAGATATTGTTTTCTAGAATATAGTTCAGCTTTATTACTATTGATAGCTTATTGTTATCAATGTATTTAGTGATTAAGGTTTAAGTATGAACATGAATAGCATATTACTAGATTCTACAACATTGATGCATTTTGGATGAAGCCATGACTTTGGAATTTTTGCTCAGTGGATTGATTCCACTAACATTTGTGAGTATATAGTTATTAACATGATCATCATGTTCTGTTTCATTGCTGTTTTGCAGAAATTTTTATTTGGTGGGAGATTAATATTTGGGCCAGATGCTTGGTCTCTTCCTTTTACCTTGCTGCTCATCATAACTCCAGTTAGTTTGTTCTCTGTATTTGTTGCAACACATCTTCGCCGCGAGTTCTTACCAAACACTGCTGGAGATGCGATCTTAGTGGTAGCGATTTTGTTTACTTTTTTTGTAAGTCTCTTCCCCAATGCCCATTTGATGTTTCCATATTTGATGTCTTGTCTACATGTTTAACCTGTAACTTAGGTAGTGTAAACACTTATCATTTTTTTTTGTTGTATGTTTTGAATGTTGATTATTGAAATGCATCGTAGTATAATCATACCCCAAGAAATTAAGAATCTAACATAAAGAATGAAGTTAAATCACAAGTTCACAACACAATAACATGTGTCTTCTTTCCTCTAGCTTAGAGGTGAAGTTTTAGGGTTCTTCATTTATTTTTGCGTTGTTTAATCACATAAGTGCTTTGTTTACATGTTTTACCTTTAACTTGGGGTAGTGTAAACACTTATTATCTCTTTTGTAAGTTTTTTTTAATGTTGATTATAGATAGTATGATTCACTTGTAATCATACCACAAGGAGTTAAGAATCTAACCTAGATAACTAATTTAAACAGATCACAATAACAGGTATCTTATGATGTTCCTTGTTCTTTTCCTCTAACTGAGAGGTTAAGTTTAAGGTATTATTTTGTTTCACGAGGTATATATTGAATGTCGTTGATTTTTTGATGTGGTTTTTGATTTGTAGTTTTTTGGGTAGTTTAGTATTCTTTCTTTACTTTTGCTGTTTTATCATATAAGTGGTTTTGATAGGTGTTGACCCTCCTCTTCCTCACTTCTGCGCGAGATCCTGGAATCGTTCCAAGAAACTCGCATCCGCCAGAGGAAGAACTATGCTATGAGACAAATGTGTCAAGTGATGGAAGACAAACACCCACTGTTCAAATCCCTAGGACTAAAGAAATCATGGTTTATGGCATTTCCATTAGAGTCAAATACTGTGATACATGCATGCTTTATCGCCCTCCTCGTTGCTCCCATTGTTCCATTTGCAATAACTGTGTTGAGCGTTTTGATCATCATTGCCCTTGGGTAGGTCAATGCATTGGAGTGGTAAGCTGACTTAAACTCATATTGAACTTGGGAGATATAACGTTCGTAACTTGTTATAATCCATGTTGAAAATTTGTTCTATCTATTGATGGCAAAACTGTGGATATAATTTTCCTCCATTATATCTTCTGTTATGCTGATACATCTTGACATTGCATTTTCTCTTTGTTGTGTTGTGGACAGAGAAACTATAGGTACTTCTTTATGTTTGTTTCCTCTGCAACTCTTCTCTGTATCTACGTGTTTTCGATGTCGGCCTTATACATCAAGGTTCTGATGGATAACAATCAAGGTACTGTGTGGAGGGCAATGCGAGAATCGCCTTGGTCAGTAATGCTAATGATATATTGCTTTATCTCCCTGTGGTTCGTTGGAGGGCTTACCGGGTTCCATTTGTACCTCATTAGCACAAACCAGGTTCGTTTTCGATATCCTCGGAGTTTGTATTGAATAAACTCCATCTCATCAAATATCCCCAACATTGCGGATTTTTTCAGACAACATATGAGAATTTCCGGTACAGATCAGACAATAGAATCAACGTTTATAACCGCGGGTGTTCAAACAATTTTCTTGAGATATTTTGCTCAAAAGTTAAGCCCTCAAGGAATGACTTCAGAGCTTTTACTAAAGAACAGCCTCAGAGGAATATTACATTGGCTACCACATGGGAAAGACCGGACGAAAGAGAGGAAGTAATTATGGGGGAACAGCATCAGAAGGTGGAAGACGATCTAGATATCGATGAAGATGTTATGAAACTACAACAGCGTTCTAATGCGGGGGAAGGTAGCGATCCGGCGGACCACATGGTCGATATCGACCAGACGAGAGCCGGGTCTAATGAGAGAGCACCGACAATTCGATCAGAAGCAAGGCAGGGAAACTGGGGAACGACGATAACCAATGAACAAGAGGATATGATTGCTGGTTTTTCAGTTAAGGAGAGTAGAAACTATGCAGCTGCAGAGGAAGGGAGGTGAATTTGTGAAACAATGGAAGTAGAAAAGGTTTGTTTTTTCATCGTTTTAATTTTTTGTTATATTTTACGGGTTTAGACCCTCTTGGTTTGATTTGAGAGTTGTGAACATTATAATTTGGACAACTCGGAATAAGTTTTAGTGTAAGCTTTGAGTAGAGATCAAAATTATTATATTTTTTTTTTTTGAACTTTTTAAATGTTTTTGCTCTGATGATTTCTTATGATTTAGGTTAATCTATAGGTTTATCTTCTCTATATCGTTTCAATTTTATCAGATGTATTCAGGGCACTCCATTCTCTTAAAATAGACAAACAAAGCAGAATATTGAGTCTCCTGACTAAAATTTAAAAAACCGTGGCACAAATCTATATATAGAAATTTTCCAAATTGAGAAAAAACAAGCTAAATATAGTAAATTGACCAAACTTGAAAAAGATGACAATCTTAAATAAGACTGCCATTGTTATATATATAGAGCTAAAGTAGTGTAGCCAAAACCAACCAAAGCTAAAACAAAAATCTGATATCCTTAGGTGTCGAGAGAAATAAATTATTTTCCGGCGACGAAATGGCTTCTTCCACTGGTTGTTTCTTCGTCGTCAGTATGGCAATCTTTTCACAATTTCTCTTAGCGCCAGCATCAGCCTTGATCAACAGAGAATTCATCGATGCTAACTGCGAACGAGTTAAGAACAAGCCTTTTTGCGTCGACACATTAACGACTTATCCACCCACAGTTTCTGCCACGGGCCTGGTACGAACCATCAAACCACATAGATATTCAATTAGTTTAGGGTTGAACTAAGATTTTATTGGTAAACTAGATTTAAGCTCCGTGTATATGCGAAATTTATAACTTAATATTTTATCATTTGTTAAAAAAGACAAACTCATATCACCATAAACTTATACTTTCTCTATTTCAAAAAGTGTCATTCTAAAATTTTATTTTCATTTTATAATAAATATTAGTTTAGATTTTTAATTTATAATTTTAAATAAATATTTAGTTTTAACCTTTGAATACTTTAACTCATTTTCATTTGTGTGAAAAAGTGTTAAAATAAACGGAGAAAAATAATGGACTCACTTTTAACGAAACGGAAGGAAATGATACATACATTATTAATTTTATGTAGCATAGATATAAAATTACCGCTGTTAGAGAAGAAATAATAAAGTAACATATATATATCAAAATTTAACCACCAGTCAAAAATAATAAATTAAGATTGTGAACGCCAGTATGAAATCATACATCAATAAAGAAACCTAACACTAATTTTGGTGATGCCTAAAAAATTATGTGGGGATTTTTATGTCAAACTCTGGTTGGTATATTTAAGTCGCATCGCAATAATGTTAATTAATAACACTAAAATATCAAATTTTATATAACAAGATTGTATATTTTCCGAAATTAAAGTTAATTTGAATTATTTTTGTTGAGTAATTTTAGTTTTTTTATATAATAGTTAGTAGTGTTTTTTTATGGTTACTATTTGGTTAGATATTTTTCTAAACTTAAGTTAATTTTAGTTTTCTTTATTTAATTGAAGTGCATTTTTACTATCAATATTTGTTTGTATAATCTCATAAACAGAAGTTTTCTTGATTAATATTTTTCAATCGCGACATATGTTAAGTTTTGTCATCGATTAACTTAAACATATCGCAAAATTAATTATTAATTTTGAAATTAAAATTCTATATAATAAAAAGTTTTTATTTTTACTAGCCAACGAACTTGTTTTCTTTGCGTTTATGTTAGCCTTTTCACATCCGTTAGCACCTCATCCCTACTTAAAACAATCATTATAACTTCAAAATTTTGATTTTCAAAATATGTAGTTACCATTGGCAGAAGGCGTGATCAGCCTTGCGATTACCCATGCTGAGAAGACGGCGGGTTTCGCAGCCGAGACAGCCAAAACTGATGCAGCATTGAAAACGCAGTTCGACGTGTGCCACGATGCCTATGCCACTATCGTGGCGTCTCTAAAGAGTGCGTTATTGGGACTCAAGGATTCACCAGACACTTCCAACTACGACGTTATGGTTTCTGGTGATGAGATAAGGCGCGTGACGGATACAGTCGGGAAAAACATCGACAAGTCTTCCAAAACGCTCATGGAGATGACATTGCAGATGGAGAAGCTTCTTGATCTTGCTGCTGGTGCCACCGATGCGGTTGATGACGATGATGAGAATTTACATCGTCGTACTTGATGTTTGAACTAATTAAGTCGGGTTTTTCGATTTTTTGGTTTGCTTTTCGTGAAACATGAATAGATTCAAAGGACATTTATATGTTGCTGATAGTTGAATCTTAGGAAAAATATAAAAATTCAATATTGCTGGAACAAAATTAATAAAAACTTTGTTGGGCTTTATCGATTTTATCGATTTGTGTATGTGTGTGAAAAAAAAAAATTTTGTTGTATCCCATATAAATTAATTGTTTTTATTGGCTATAACTATTAAATAAGAAAAGGGAGAAGTTAACTTATCCTACATTAGAAACTTGGAAAATTTTTAGTTAGTATATGTAAGGACCATTCTATGCTTTGGTTGTGGCCCAAGGCCAATGGTTGATGGTCATTTGTTAGATTGGCTGATATCTCTATTATTTATACCAATTTAGCTTGCATTCATCACTAGTTTTAGTCTTTAAGCATGTATATTTTGCTTCTTCTTGCCCCTTTTGTATACATTTAGGAGTTAGTGTAGTTTTAGGAGCTGCATTGCATTTTGCATACATTTGGAGTTTTATTCAGGTACTAGAAGGAGTGTGGAGGCCATGTGGTGCAATGCGTGTAAGCTGGGAATGAAGCAAGACAAAGGACAAAGGCAGATAGGCCAATATCGATGATGATATCGACATGATCTAATCCATACGGAGCATATCGATGGGAGTATCGATCACTTCAGCATCAATACAGTGAAGACATGGTGTGAAGGAAGCATATCGACTAAGAGAGACCTCGATGCAACAGAAGGGAGCCTATACCGAGCAGCGTATCGACGTCCCATATCGATACACAGAGACAAGACAATACCGAGGTGCTGTATCGACTTGTTTGCTCCATGAGCCTTAACTAAAGGGCGATTGTATCGACTTCACACCAAGGAGAGTCAAACCAATACAACCTTGAAGCCTTTTGTATCGATGTGCATATCGACCAAGGGACATCGATACAACCCAGAAGAAGAGATGATATCGACATGAGTATCGATGTGCATGATTGATATGGTCTGTCCGAGTCAGCATATTTTCGGTTTAATCTTGGTTTACTAGGGGTTTCTTAGTTCCCCTATAAATACTAAAATCCTAAAATGGTTAGGCAGCTTAGATCTTATTATTTTTCTTCTGTTCTTGCACTTAAAACATTTCCCTTTTCAGTTTTTCTTTGTAAGAACTAGTTTGATTTAGTGAATTTATATATTTGACTTTAATCTATTCTTGCGTATTCTGCTTTCTAATCATGCTTAGCCATTATTTCTCTTTAGAATTTGTGGTTTTGACTATGACTAGTGAATAGTCTTATTTAGGGTTTGAGATAGGATAGATTAGAGGGGTTTTAGGACTAGATTAGTGATGTTTTATGCTTAATATGATTGTCTTCTCTCTATTAGATATGCTTAACACCAGATTAGTCTTGGCCAGGCTTGTTTAGTATCTTGGCTTTCTCTTGCGCCTGATAAGTGTTTGATGAAATGGTGCTTTGAGTCTCTTAGAGGATTTGTATGCTTAGTCTAAGGAATTATATGTCTAAGGTGCATTTTGGCTCTATAGGATTGGAATTCTGTTTTGAATGCTTGCTGATCATGTGTTTGAGTAAAAAAATTTATCTGAAATGTGTGTTTAGCAAAGTGATTAGTGTCAAGAAATTTAGCTAGTTATAGTTGTTAATCATATACCTAGAAAATAGCATTGTTTGAATGATTTTAAAGCATCACTAGTTAGGTTCTAATCCCCTCTTAATCAATAACCCCTATCTTAAATCCTTACTTCATATATTTGAATTTCCTGCCTTGTTTAGTTCAGTCTTTAGATAGTTTGATCACAACTGCTTTTTTGAATTTGGCTTGACTTAAGTGATTTACTGTATTCTTGGTGTCTTATGAACTCAGATGGATTGATACCTTACATGCTGCAATGACATGAGTGTGTTAGGATTTGTTTAGTTAGGCAAAATCCTGCTATCAAATTGGCGCCGTTGCCATATGGGTTTAGTTTAAGCATTATGATTTGTGGATTGTTTAAGATCAAGCTGTTAAATTTCTGTTTGTTACTGATTTGCAAGTTGCTCTTCTACTTATAGGTGTATGAACTTGAGGTCTAGAGGCAACCAAAACCTGCTGGATTATCAACACAACATTCTGCAAGTGGAAAGAGCATTAAGAGCAACAAGGGAAAGAGAGAGACCGCAAAGGTTTCATCAGCTCAACATGGAGCATAGTATAGATGATCAGCGATTTCAAGGACCACTAGGAGCATAAGATGTTCAAGGAGTTGCTGGCGTTCAGGGACAGCAAGGAGTCCAAGGTGAGCAGGGTCAGAGAGGACCAGCACATGGTGCACGCCCAGTAAGACCCATTGGAGCAGGAGATGCGCCCAATGCCTACAACAACAGAACATGAATCATCCCTCCAGCTGTTGAGAACAACAACTTTGAGATCAAGTCTGGTCTGATCGCCATGGTCCAAGGAAGCAAGTTCCATGGCTTACCTTTAGAAGACCCTTTGGACCACTTGGACAACTTCGATAGGCTCTGCTCTCTCACCAAGATCAATGGAGTCAGTGAAGATGGTTTCAAGTTGAGGCTGTTCCCATTCTCTCTTGGCGACAAAGCTCATCAATGGGAGAAGAATTTACCTCAGGGCAGCATCAAAAGTTGGGATAAGTGCAAGAGAGCATTCCTGGCCAAGTTATTCTCTACTTTAAGGACAGCTAGAATCAGGAATGAAATCTCTGGTTTTGCTCAAAACAATAGTGAGAGTTTTGGTAAAGCATGGGAGAGATTCAAAGGGTACACACTTCAGTGCCCACACCATGGATTCTCACAAGCTTCACTCCTCTCCACCTTATACAGAGGCGCTCTCCCTAAGATCAAGATGATACTTGATACTGCCTCCAATGGAAACTTCCTATCTAAGTATGTAGATGAAGGCCTAGAGCTTGTGGAGAACTTAGCTCTAAGTGATGGCAATTGTAGTGATGCTAGAACCTGTTTTGCTTGAAGATAAGGAGCAAAGGAGACATGTAGCTGTTTTCAAAGGAGCTAAGGACTTAACAACAAAACACTGTCGTTCTATGCATCAAGGAGGACATTCTGATCAAGCTAAACCATGGCTGGGCCAGTTTAATTCAGAAGAAAACCAAGTCAAACCACCAGAACCACCAAATCACATGAATGGACCAACATTCATGTTTTCAAGACCATTTAAGGAAACTTCTACCATATCTTATATCACCACGCCTTATTTACATTCCTTGGCATGTTATGAAGATACCAAGAGCTCTAAACCACCAGACCAAGCCAATAACCAAGTCAAAACATTCCAAACCGAATAAGATCACCATGAAGACAGTTTTCTTTTCTAAGCATGTTAACTTTGTTCCAAAGGTAAACTATGACCAATGACCACTCTCTCTCAGCAATCTAGACTCTCCATCCTCTAAAGAAGATCCTGGACGTTCATACAAAGATCAAGACCACAAGATTTGTTCCCCCTCTCTCATTGCCCCAAATCAAGCATTTTTCCCCCTTTATGCCCAAAGACTAGCTACAAGTCAAGCCAAACTTTATGCTTTGTTTTTATTACCTTGTTACCGTTTTTTACACTGCATTTTGAGCACTATATAAGCTCATAAGCTTGTACTTTCATACCCACGAAATTATTTAATCAAAAACCTTTTATTTGCTTCTAAAAGAAAGATTTCTTTTGAATCAATATTGTTCAGGCTTATTACTAGTTCTTCAAGAGGGATTCTTAGAACTTGTAAAGAGTGTAGAGACTAGTGTTCTTGTGAAGATTAGCCCTTGAACATTAGAATCTAAACCCTTTGTGTTTGGGGTTCAAGCACAGCTGGCCAACCAACCATCTAGCCATTCAACCATCAAAGGCTTCTAAGCAAAGATTTCAAAGGGACATGACTTGGAGCATCTCAAGTATTGTATCATTGGTATCAGAGTTAAAAGCTACTATCCCAGGTGTATTCATACCCTATCTCGAATTTTTGTTATTTTTTACATTCAGTTTTAAGTTTTGCTTCTTATAAAAACCAAAAACCTATAAAAATTATTCTTCCACTGAATTATCTTGTTCGAATTTTATAAACTTCATAAAAACTCAAAAATATAGTTTTCCTTTTGCTTTAGTTCATTTAAAGTCTTAAAAACATAAAAAAGTATTTCCTAAAAATTAGCAAGCGATTTGTTAATTTTAATTTGATTTTCAAAATAACTGCTTTTGTTTCAGTGAAATTATGTTTCTCTGTTTTTGCTTGCTTTTGAACATCACTTTGATTCATTCTCTTTCCATCTTTTGCAAGGTACTAAATGGAGAATGCACCAGAAGATCCTATGCAAACCATGATGGCCATGTTACGAAGAGCTGAAGCAACCAGTTTGCTAACAAACCATATCAACAATACAAGGAGCCAAGATCACCTGATATACCACCACAGCCTCTAGCACCAGATCCAACCCAAGATGCTGAAGAAGGAGAGGTTCTAGTAATTCAAAGAGCTTTGAATGCACAACAAGTACTAAAAGATCAGGAGCAAAGAAACTATCTCTTCCATTCAAGATGTAAAATCAAAGACAAGGTATGTCATTTGATTATTGATAGTGGTTCTTGTGCTAACATTAGTGTTTATCTAGTAGAAAAACTTGGTCTTACCACAAAACAGCATCCAAGGCCTTACAAACTCAAGTGGCTGAATGACAAAGAAGAGCTGAAAGTTTCTAGGCAAGTTGAAATATCATTCAGCATTGGCAAGTACAAAGATCAAATACAGTGTGATGTTGCACCAATGCAAGCTGGCCATGTTTTACTTGGAAGGCCATGGCAATATGATAGAGAAGTAACCCACAATGGCAGAACCAATGAGTACTCCTCCACCATTAACCATTGTAAGCACATTCTGGTCCCTTTAGCTCAAAAAGACATTAAAGTTATGCAAGTGAGAGCTAAGCAAGATACTAACACTACAGTTAGTT